GGGCCCGTACCCACTGGGGGGTTTGACTCACCACTAGGTATTTTTTTCAAATAGCATAAAAAAATGTGGCAGCCACAGTGGGACCCCTTTTGTGGTACAGAATGTGGATCAAAGGCTGTGAATTCCACCTGTCCCTATTGTGCTGTGGCTCCGATAGCCAAAGGTCCCCAGGGGTCTGGGGTAGGTCTAAACATGGCTCCCTGTCAACATTCCTAGAGATCCTCGGCTAATGTTCAAGGACAGACTGGACCTGGGATGCAGAAAGGATTACACCCAAATCAGAGTCAGAGTGTCCTGGCATCCTTGTGGCTGTTTGTGGTGATCCGAAAGTGAGCTGCGGAGGGCCACTCTCCAAACCCAAACAACAGCTTTCCTAGCAGGCCCTGTGCCATGAAAGGCCAGCTAGCTCCCAGCTGGAATTCTGCTTCCTCTGCAGAGCAGGCCCTGGCTTCAGGCAGGCTGGGCCACAGCTCCCAACAAGACCTGCTTCTTCCAAGAGCAGGCTGGCAGGTGCCCCACAGGCGTGACATGTGGGATGCCGGGTCCCGGACCTGGGCTCCCACATGCTCTACAATGCGACAGCTTTCGGCGGCAGGCTGCCATGGTCTGCAGGGACATGGAGGGAATACTCGCTAATGAGCGCTGGGGCATTTTTCAGCATCTCATAGAAGGAGTCCACTGTCTTGCGGTACAGACTTCGCTGCAGGACAAAGGGCCGGAAGAGGTTGAGAGGCTCGGCCCTGCGCACAGCCTCGGGGAGCCCCATGGCCTCAGGCACCTTGCAGTTGCCGATGAAGAAGTGATGGAGCTTCTTCTCGAGCAGGCTCTTCTCCAGGAAGTAGAGAAGCTCGTGCAGGCGCCTGTCGAGCTGCTCTGCCTGCCAGTCGCAGGCCCGCCGGGACAGCAGCAGGTGTAGCAGTGCCGTCTTCAGGTGGTAATTGCTGAGCCCGCTGGGGCCAGTCAGGCGGCTCTGCTTGGAGAGCAGGAAGGAGGCGATCTGCAAGCAGCTGAGGTGGCAGGAGCCCTCAGGCAGCGCCTTCGACGTCATCCTGAGGAAGTGTCGCTCATAGACAGCAAAGGACAGGAGCCAGTCAGTGCTGGGAGCCTGGGTGTCCCCAGGAGGCTCCCTGGGAAGGTGGGAGACAAAGTACAGGTCTGTGTCATCACACTGGATCACTGGAATCAGGTTAAAAGGCATGAACTTCCCTGAGCGGAACTTGATCTTGAGGGACCCCGGGGTGTCCAGCTGGCCAAAGGCCAGGTCGAACTCGTACTTGCGGGCAATGCGGTGCCAGGCTCTGGTGAGGGCCACCTGGAACCACTTCATGACCTGCACCGTGTCCAGGTATGGGGACCCTCTGGCACACAGCAGGTCTTCCATCTCGCCCCCGCAGGGCTGTGCCACGCTGTTCTTGCCATGGAGAAGGCACAGCATGTCTTCCCCGAGCTTGGTCTTGCCGCAGATACAGCCCAGAGCATCCCCGTCGGCTCGGACCACCTTGATCTGGCCAAAGCCTTGGCGATCCAGGGGCACCGAGCGGCTGGAGCACCAGAGCTCTGGGTGGAAGCGGTAGGGCTCAGGGGGTGTGAAAGGCACAAAGAGGTCACATAGCAGAGGCCTGTCCACCTGCCAGTTCTCATACATGCTGTCCACGCCAATGAAGTCCTCTACCTCCATGTCTGTGTCCCGGTTGCAGAGGCTCCTCAGGGCCTCCAGCAGGTCATCCACAAAGCCTTCCACAAACTCCCGGGTACGGGCGGCATCAGCGGTGGCCCCCCGGATGCAGCGCTCATAAAAGTGGCTGAGTGTGGCCTTGTTGGGCAGAGTGAGCCCCCGCAGGGGGGCACTCCCTGGCCCAGGCAGTTCGTCCTCGTCACCGCCCAGGCACTCGGGTGAGGGGCCGTCCTGATGGTCCTGCCGCCACACCTCAATCATCAGGAAGATGATCATGCAGAGAGTGCTCCAGAGGTCCCAGGCCGCACGTGTGTCATTCTGCTGCTGGCCCTCCTCTGCCACCTGCTCCAGGGCTTCCTTCTCAGCCACCAGCCGTGCCACCTCCTCCTCCAGGCGCAGCTGCTCCAGCTGCAGCTTCTCTTGGTGTGCCTGCATCTTGCGGATGATCTCGTCTTCATTCTCGGGGACTGTGGCGTTCTCCCGCGGGAACAGCAGTGGGTGGTTGATGATGGCTGTCACCACCACCAGACACACCCGGAAGAGCCCCATGGCCATGGCCTGATGACAAAGAGAGAGACCAATGGTCATACCAAGCAACACTCAACACCACGTCTTCCCTGGCCCCTCGTACCACAGAGCTCGGATCTTCTCCTACCCAAACCCTGGCTCTCTTCCCTACAACCTCGTCACGTGCTTCAGCCTAGCCCTGAGAGAAAGACCTCAAAGGCCCTACCCGTGGTGGATATCTCTTTCTGACTGTCCAGACATTCCTCTTGCTGGTAGCAATGCCTCACTGTCCCTGAGAACCAACCCTTTTCTCTCCCCAGTTCCCATGGCTGGGGTGGGGAAAAGCACAGACCCAAACTTGAGGGCTGGACATGTAAGTCAGGCCTAAGGCAATCTGACCACACCACCACTTCCTCAAGCTACAGCCACTGTGACTGGTTCAGGGAAGAGCATCTGACCCAATTCGTGCCAATGGGAGAGAGATGTAGGATGTGTTGGGACCAATGGGGAGAAAGACTTGCCCTGTTGCTAGGGTTGTCGAGGGACCAGGGTTACATCTGCCATAGTGATGGCTCTCTGGCCATCAGAAAAAGGAACCTGCCCGAGAAAGACGCCAACACAGAGGAAAGCACACCACCTTGCCAATCCAGCTGGGCTTTTTAGTCATATAAGATAATAAAGAAGTCTTTTTTCTTTGAGTTGGTTTGGGTTGTTTCCATCACTCAAAACCAAGATAATCCTGAATATAACATCTCCTTCCCTCCCTAGTGAATGCCACCTAACGAATTCATCTTCCTGCAATATATTGAGTCACCCGGAAAGTCATGACATTTTTGCACAGAAAAACATAGTCAAGTATGTCATGATGTTCCCAGTGACTTAATAGTAAAGCTTAATGGTTGTGGACAAGAGGGTCCAAAGCCAGCCCTTTGAATAGCTGGGCGACCTTGGGCAAGTGAACTCACTTCTCTGAGCCCTAGTTTCCCTATGTACACCTCCCAGGGTCACAGTACTGATGGATGCGATCCATGCCCAGTGACCGGCACAGCACAGTCATTGGACAGTAACTACTGGCACAGTTTTGAGGCCCGTCTTCTCTCTCTTGTACGCCTCTCCTGGTCTGGAAGACCCCAAATGCAGACACAGATCTCCTGGCCTTCAGTGTTTCTCCAGGACAATCTTGGTGACAACCAGAGACTGAATGAGTCCCTGGTTCACCTCTCATGAGGCATCTGAACTTAAAAACTGATCTTTAAAAAAAGTTTATTTATTATTTATTTATCTATTTATTTGTTGTGATTTGGGGGCTGCCAGGTCTGGGACTTGAAGCGCAGTTGGCCATGTGGGAGTCCAGTGCCTCAACCACCATACCACCTGCTGGTCCCTAAATCTGCCCTCTTAATTGTGAAAGGATGCATTTCAGGATAAGTGGATTTTTAGGTCTCCTAGGGAAGGGCTAAACCCTTATAAACTGTAATTCAAATTGTGAACCAGGAGTGCAATATCTTCTGAGATCTCCTTAGAAATGCAATCCCAGGCCCACCCTACCCACTGAGTCAGAATCTGTATTTTAACACCAACCACTTCAAATTCTGGGAAGTGTCGTCTTACTGTGTAAGCCTCCCATACACCCTCTCCTCTCTCCAGCAGGAAACTTGGGAATTACAATCCGCCCTTTCCACATTGTCTGACTTGCTTCCTGCCTGAGCTCAGCAAAGAGAGCATGTGGTCAAAGCAAATCACTCAAGGTCCTGAGATTACTGACGGACGACTGATGCCTCAGAGAACTTCCATCACCTCCTGGTGCATGCAACACTGGCCGATAGGAGTTTCAGGGTAGACCTGAGCCCATTCTCTTTGGATTGAGATCTGCTCTTGAATTTGCACAATGAAAATCTTGCTCTAACTGGTGCCCAGGAGAAGGAGTTTGTCACCAGGTGAGGACATTTTGCAGATTGTACCAGGCAAGGGGCAGGATGTAGGTGGTTCGAGCTGGCTGCCAGCCATGCCTGGGCAAAGCCTGCTGCTCAGATGTGACTCCGACTGCTCCACCCTCTGCACAGCTGCATGTGACAGCAGGAGCCCAAAGGGGTGGGAGCAAGAGGCTTGAAATCCAGCTAGGAGACAAATTCAGATGGCAGAGGTGAGCTTGGAAGAGGAGAGCCCACGGGCTTCCATAGAGAAGGGAATGGGGAATAGGAGAAGGTAGGGGAAGTCAGGCTGGAAGGTGGGTGGGGTAAGGAAAAAGGACACGGGCATCTAGCCGGTTTTGTTTCCCCAAGCCAAGGAGCAGCTTGCTAGATAACTGCAGAAACAGGTCAGCCCAGGTTTCCACATTAGAAAAACATCCAGGAAAGTTTTGCTCAGGTAGTCCAAGGCAAAACTGTGAGGCTGGCCGAATAACACACATCAGTTTAAGGTAAGGCATAGAGCAGTATTACCAGGCGATAACCAGTGAGGAGGTAACTCGGGGGTTTGAAGGACCTTCACGTCCCCTGTACCATAGACAGCTGCCTTTGGGCAGGGCGGGCCTTGCCCAGTCACAGCAATATCCCTGGCAACTCCCAACCCAGGACGGAGTCAAGGTCAACTCAGGATAGGATGCCACCAATTGGAGGGTGGTGCCTTCGTCAACCCCTACATCAGGGAAGCCCTTCTCCTCTCTACCGAGCAGCTTCTACAGTGCCCCATGGACACCCTCATGCCTGCTGGGATGACGGGCTCTAAGAGCCTTTTCATACTGGGGCAGGCAAGGTTCTGAAATCCAAACCAACTGGCAAGATGGAATCTAGGTCAAGGGGTTAAGAGAGCAGACGTACTGGGGCAGGCATGGTTCTGAAATCTAAACCAACTGGCGAGACGGAATCTAGGTCAAGGGGTTAAGAGAGCAGACTGTAGAGAAAACAAGACAGAGCTAGAACCAGCAATGTGGACCTACAAGATGTGGTTTTAGACAAAGCAGAGCTTCTCAGAACCTCAGTTTCTTCATCTGTAAAATGGGAATAATAATACCTGCTGTTATAAAGCTTGAACAAGAGAATGCATTGAAAGTGCTATGCAAAATGCTAGCCTCTGAGCAAGTTTTCTTACAAGAGGGAAGCTGAGATGGGATGGGACTACACAGACGAACCTGCCTGCAATGGGGTTAATAATGAAGTGGGCCAGTTCCAGCAGATGGCGTGATGGCTTCATTGCCGGATTCTCACATAGTGACTACGGTTTGAGTCCCAGATCCAACGGCTTAAAACGCATGGTGCATGCGTGCGTGTGTGCCCAAAATCCTAAGAGAAGAGGTTGTGGCGTAGCCATCCCCCTTGGGGGTTGATTACTCGCTTTCTGTCTCTCTGTCTCTCCATAGAGTGCACACATCCAATAGCAAAAATCTCTCTAAAATAGTAGTAATAATAATAATAATGAAGCGGGCCACACAGACGCCCCTCTGAGAACTCTCGCAGGATGTGGGCAGCCCATAGTAACCCTGACAATAGTAGCGTCACAAATAGGACTCTGGCAGGAGTGCTAGGGAAACAGTGCAGTGACATGGAAGGTTCTTGGGCTGTCAGCCCAGCAGACCTGGGTTAGAACCTTGATTCTGCCCCTTGCTGGGTGACCTGGGGTGGACCGCGTAGCTTCTCTAGGCTTCCCTGCTTTGCTAGTGAGGTGGAGTTCTAACTGTCTCTACATCATGAGGATGTTGAGAGTCTCAAGTGAAATCACACCGTACACCTTGGGTGCTGAGCAAGGAGTCTGGCATGGATTGGGCACCCAACACATAGCAGCGCCCTCCCCCTCAGCGTCCACAGGCTCCTGTTTTCTTACCTGCCAAGCACACCAGCCCTGCCCTAGTCCCTGGAGTGCAGGAACACACGCTCAAAAGTGCTTTGAAAGCACAAAACACTCCACTGTTATTGCTGTTCTTTGGCACATCACCCTGCTCACCCTGCCTCCCGGCAAAGGAGAAAGCAGCCTTCAGAGCCAGGGAGCCTCCTACCGGTCAGGAGTTCCCTCTGACTCACCTCCTGGCCTGAACAGCCTCCTCCACCCCTGGGATTGGAAGCCAGCTGTCATTTTGCTCCTTGCTAAACCCTGCTCAGGCTGGCTCTGTCTGCAGCACCCTAGGGCTGGAGCAGGGAGGGCCAGGCCAACACAGAAAATGGGCTATAGCTGCTCTGCCCCATGAGATGGGGCTGAGGTGGGCACCTGCGCTACTTCTCCACCTGTGCTAATTCCCCTTCGTGGGCCAGGTTATAAGGAACACTGCCCTGGGGGCCAGGCCAAGGACAGAGGAACAAGGAGAAGAAATAAGGGTCTGGAATCTCAGGGAAGGAACAGGTAGATGGGAGCCTCTCATAAGCGGCAGATATGTGTGTGTGTGCATGCACACATCCCTGCAACGTATGTATGCATGTGCACGTGTGCACACACACACACACACACACACACTTCCCCAAAGAGCCACTTCCCCAGTGCTAAGGGTGACCGCCTCGGCTTTGACCCAAAACTCTCACCTTCCGCGGCTGTTACACACCTGTGGTCTAAGACATCGGCTGGTGAGTTTGGCTTTGAATAAGCCTGGGTCACTGGGAGGGCTTCTGTCTGTGTGCTTGCCAGGAAGCAGGCAGGAAGTCTGCTCAATTCCTCTCCACCCCCGCCCTTACCCACAGAGAGGGGCGGCCCATGCAGTTCACAGCTAAACTTAGCCTGGCAAAGGGCCAGGGTCACAGGGCAGCAGGGACTGGGGCAGAGGGCTGCAGGTGGTTGGCCAGGACCAGTGGATTACTCAGATCCTTACTCCAAGGCTGGGCAGACCCTGGGGGAGAAATCTAAGATGGTTCCTTTGCTTCCCTGGGGTCCCTCACTCCTGTGTCCCCCAGGGCCAGAGTGCTCCCCAGCACAGCTTAATGGGATGGACCCCACTGCGAACTGTCTGAGAGCTCATCTTGGGGAGATGTTGGAGTGCAACTCTCTGCTCCACATTCACTCCCTTCCCTCCTTCCAAAGAGAATTCTTGCAACAAACCAGGAACAGTCTGTCAGCCCCACTGCTGGTTTATCACAGAACCCTTCCACCCCGGCACCCACCTCCTCCCAACAGGGCTGGCTGACTGTGGCCCGGGCAGCAGGGGCACCCAGCACCCATTTCTCAGCCATCGTTTTCCCTCTGGGGTGGTTCTCGAAGCAATCGGCAGTAACACCACCACCTGGGAACTTGTTAGAAATGCCAAATTTCAGGTGCAGCCCCAGACCTGCTCATAGGAATTTCCAGGGGTGGGGCCCAGCACCTGTGTCTTCACAACCTCCAGAAGTTTCTGCCGAGGTGTGAGAATCATCTTCCAAAGTCAGGCGACCTGGATGGAGGAGGGTGGGGCTCCTGTAGTGTCACATCAGCATAGATCCTGGAGTTTGCCAAGGGCATGCCCGTGCTCGACCTCTCAGATGCAATTAGCCCTGCTAATTACTACAGAAAAGCAGCCCCGGCCCTGGCGCCATCACTGTAGGTTTCCCTTATGAAATGGAATAAAGGAGAGACTCAGGGTGCTCTTAGCCAAGGCTGGAGGGGCTTCCTTGGGTCCCTGTCCCATAGTCCAAGGAAGAAGGAGCCAAGGGAGACCAGAGTTGTCCTAAGTTGAGGCTGAAATCCTGGTGGAGTTTTGCAGTCCCAGCTAATGAGGTGCACAGTGGTTTGAGAAACATAAAACCACAGATTCAAGAAAGTCAGAATTTAGAGTTGCACTAATCTAAGATTCACTTCATAGATGAGGAGACAGAGGTCTAAAGAGGAGACATGCTTGACTGGGCATGGGGTGGAGGTGGCTGTGGCAGGCTAGACATCATCCCACGGGCCTCCCAGGAGTATCTGGGGGGATTCTTGCACAGAAGAGTAGTGAAAGGAAATGACTGGATGAACCATCATTTACCAGGCAGTTACCCAGAAGTACATGCATGTGTCTTGTCACTGGATTTGTAGAACATCAATTAGGTAGTTACCCCATCTCACAGATAAAGAGACCAACAGTCAGGGAGATTCACTGAGGGGCCTGGAAGGTTCCCTGGTTACAGTGCATGGACTGTATGTCAGCAGAACCCCATTGGGTGCCCCTCTCTCTGTACTCCCTCCATCCTCCTAGGGGGTTGATGGGAAACCCAGTGATCCCCACCATCTACCCCTGCCCGGCTGCAACACTGGACACCACTGCCAGTGGTGGCCACCAAAAACCATCCAGGTTGGCTCTTTTCCTGAGTGTCCCTGGTCTTGGAGAAACAGGACTATGAGGAAGGATCGGTTGAACGCTGAGAACAAGTCCAACCTCAAGTCTTGGGTGTTGGACTTCCGAGGCTCTGGTGGGTAGTCTGAAGCCCTGGTGAAGCTCTTTTCCCACGGCCCAGCCTACCCATCTCATCTCTGAGTCTACGCTTCTCTCCAGTAGAGCCAACACCCCAAGCTGGAGTCACAACAGCTTCACTGCCAAGGCAATGCCACCCATTGTACAGGGTCAGCTAGGGACTCCTCCTCTAGGACCTGTCCCTGGGAGCAGGCCTGTCTCACCCTTCCCAGAACTCCTACAGGTTAGGACACCCTTCTGTTCTTTTTTTGTCAGTTCAGACACTGGTCCCTGTCTTCCCACCATGGTTCCAGAATGATCAAGAAGGTGGATGTCTTCCTGCAGCCCCCACGGCACCAGGCAGAGCTGGACATGCTACTGGCTCCTGACTTCTTAGTGGGAGTTAACTTATCACGCATTTGGGAGGAGATGACTGGGGGCAGACACAGCTGTTGAAGTGACATGTCTCCACCAACTCCTTCCTCTTTGCCTAGCTCGGATTCAGGACGCAGTACAAACTGTCCTGAAGCAGCAGCTCAGAGTGCATCCCTGCTCAGCCTGATTGGCCCCCACCCTTCCAGGACAGTGGGAAAGGGGAGGGCCTTGCAGAGCTGGCCCCGCCCCAGCAAGGGCAAGTACATAGAGCTAGCTCTGGGGCATCTCTGGCTGGGGTCTCTTGTCACTTTTTTTTTTTTTTTTGAAGAGGTTTTTGCTATAGGGTGCGTGCGCTCCACCAGACAGACAGAGAGACAGAGAGACAGAAAGCGAGAAATCACCCCCTGGGGAGATGGTCACGCCGCAATCCCTTGTCCTTTCTCCTCTTGGGGTCCTGGGCACTCATGCACACGCACATGGCGTGAGTTTTAAGCTACTGAGTCCGGGATGTGAACCGTGGTCGACTACATGGGCGTCCAGTGACAAAGCCATTACGCTAACTGCTGGTCCCAAAAAGAGACTGTGATCGGAGCATGCCCCATGGAGGGGAGAGGAACGAATTTTCTCACTCTGCTTCTTTCTTTTCTTTCTTTTTTTTGGAGAGGTTTTTGCTGTAGGGTGTGTGCGCTC